AAAGTGACTCATAATACCCAACAGCTTAGAGCCTCCAAACCATAACAAGAATTTAGAACAAGTGGGTCCAGTATGAAGCAAAACAGAGACATTGTAAGCTTTAACCTCATAAAGTTCAGACCTATATAGCATGATTATAACACTGCAAAAGTCTTACTAGCACCTGGAAGTGAGTGTGTGTGTGTGTGTGTGTGTGTGTGTGTGTGTGTGTGTGTGTGTGTGTGTGTGTGTGTGTGTGTGTGTGTGTGTGTTTACATAGTTTCCTGGCTAAATCTGACATCTGCATTTATCAAAAAAAAAAACATTCAAACCCATTTATTTCCATAATTCTGAAGACCTCTTAAAATTCAAGTCTACGTATTTAAAATCCTATACATAGTAATGTCAATGTACAGCTCTTTACTGCATATAGTATATACATATGCTATATTTAAATACAGGCAACAATACTGTAACTTTATTGTGTGAAATCTTCCCTTTTTCATCCACCACAATATTTACAGTTGCCCATGACAACTTGCAGCTGGACGTCACAAAGTAAACAAGTGTTGATAAATGAGAGGGCCTGATTCTAATGGAGTAGCCTAATGGAGCATCACAACAATGTTCCTGAATCTATTAACCCTTTCCTTCCTCCCCTTCCCAATGTAATAAATTACCAGCAGGACTGGAAGAAAACCGGTTTCTATACACTTTTCCAGGAGTATTTTGAATGAAACAATTTGGATTGGGGGGTGGGGAGGCACACAGAAGTCACACCTAAGTCTTCTGCTTAAAACCTTTGATGATGGTCCCAGAGAGGGCCCTTGGACACAGACGCACCCCAATCAATGTGCAGCAATCACACCTTCAAGAAAAGCCCAGGAACTGGGAAGGACAGGGACACGCTCAAGTTCTAGAGTCAAGGGTGTCAGCAACCTTGTGCCCAAGGACCCCAAATCTGCCAACCTTCCAAGCTCTTTAGATTTCACTCTGCTGGCACAGACGTCCAAGCTGCAGGTAAGCCACTCTTCTGCACATTTGGGTGCTTCCCACACACAGGGAAGAACCGGCATGAAAAAGCTTTCTACCTTTTTCCTCAAGCAGTTCCTCACCCTAAGAAAATGTCAAGCTGGGCTCTATGATGGAACATAACTAAGAATCGAAGCAATCTGATGTGTTAATTAACAAAGCAGAGTGGGAACTAAGCAAGTCCCATCAGAGAAAGTTAAAAATGTTAGTGAGGATGTGACACGCTCACAATTAAAAATTCACAAAGCTGACAGTGTGGCGTGTATATTTTAAGAGAGTCCCCTCTGCAAACACCATCCAGTCTTCACAAGCTACATCACAAGGCAAATTTCCTTGAGTTCAGTGGAACAGAATTCAGTCTTACTCAGGCAGACATGGTAGCACATGGCCTGTGGTCCCAGCCACGTGGGAGGCTGAGGCAGGAGGATTCCTTCAGTGTAGACTGTTGAGCAACCCGGTGAGCCTCCAACCCTTCATGGCTTGTCAACAGTGAGAGAGGCTCCTTCTACAGCTGCTCAAGAGGCCAGGGACAAAGGCAGAGCCCGAAAGACAGGGGAGCAGTGACAAAGAAATACACTCTAGATTTCAACTACTCAATTTGTTTTGTGCTTTAAAAAAAATAAATAAAACTTTATTGGGACATTTGATTTCCTCCCCGCAGTATTCCCATGTAAAGTTTTTTTTCCTTTAAGACAAATGATATTTATTTGCATAATAATAGTGTTATTTTAGGCCTGTCAGAGCCCCCCCCAAAAAAAAGAAAAAAACTTGCACCACTCCAAAAGGCAAGGATGGAGGTAAGAGAAGGGAAGGACAGTAAACTGGGGCAGGGAGAGGGAGGGAGGCCCTACCACGACCCCACCTGGCCAGCAGGGCTGCCAGCTCTGGTGAGGCTTCGCCAGCTCCCATGCTTACACTCAGGCTCAAGTACAGAAGCAGACCCACAACCCCTGGATCCACACCAAAAATGTCTCCAGACATGTGGCTGTAAGGCTGCTCGAGGCCTGCCATGTCTCCCCACAGAGCGCTCTCACACTTTGTGACACCACTCCTCTATAGCGTGGACCAAGCCCTGCTTCCCCTGGTGAAGAAGCGCCAGGCAAGAAACAAGAAGGCAACAAATGAGCAGAAAGCACAAACTCCACGTTATGCAGCCAAGAAGTCAACCTGTAACCCCTCAGCAAACAACCAACAACCCAATAATAATGTCCAAACAACAGGAACTTATGGAGTAGCCCCAGCAGACAGACCATAGCTGGACTGGTGTCTGGAAATCTAGGTAACCGACAGTCCATTAAAGGCTGGCAGCCACATCGGAACTTGCAGAAAATAGTCTACTCTTTTTTTTCTTTCAATCTATGTCACGTGCTCAAAGTGGATTTCTTTTTTCCATCCTCTTCTGTAGAAAGGAGCATGGAAAATGCCACATCTGTTCCTATAATGCTTTCTGATAGGTTAATAAGATGATGCTAACCAACCAATTAAATAACTCTCTCCCCGTGAATTCTGATTAAAGATAATATGTGAAATCAGAACACCAAAATAATTCAAATAAAAAGTCATGCTTTCTTTGAAAGTGGGTATTTGGGGGAATTTTTTTTTTTAAGTTTGACAATGAAGGGAGACACTTGGATTTCTAAGTCCTTCAATCCTAAGGTTTCTATTAAGCAACACAAGACAAGATGATTCACCTAAGCCAGTAAAACAATTCTATGTGGTTAACAAAACATAAAATTTCAAGAGACCTAAAGCACAGCTCCATAAACCCTACGTGGGAAAAAGCCACACTTCATAATAAAGTCAGAGATGACACAACTAATGGGCTGGGGGAAGGGTAACAGGCAGGGAGTGGCAGGCCTTGGGTTTCTTTTTTTTTTTTCTTTTATCTCAAAATGTTTACGTCTCAGCATGGTTTATATAAAAACAATGATGGACTTCCTACATGCAAACTCACACACTCACCTCTGCCCAGTCATCCAATAACGCATTAAATCCTTATTTAAAAATCTGCACAAACTGGGGATTAGGCTGACTACACCTGTCTGGGGGGGTTCTGCCATCCTTTGAGAGCAGGCAAGAACTTATCACACCCCAGAAGCAAGTGCCAAACACTTCCGCTCCACAGTCTTAGAGGGAGGAGGGCCAGGATGATGCACTGTTCCTAGGCATGGCTGCAGATGTTAAGATCAACTGAGCCAACTCTGGGAGCATCAGGGAGGGGTGGGCTGCATTCAGACCCCAGCTCCCCCATTGCTAGCACGGAAGGGGACTGACATTCCACCCTGGGATAATGCAAACACAGCAGAAGTGCGTGCTTGGAGACAAGGCGTGAATGAATGGCAGGGATGCATACCACCCACCACCCGGTGTGGAAGGGAAAGCAGAGCTGGTAAACTGAGGAAGGAAAGAAGTCTGGTAAAGGATGCATACCACCTGGGTATGGAAGGGAAAGCAGGACTGGTAAACTGAGGAGGGAAAGAAATCTATCTTTAGGTTGACAAAATCCCACCGGAGCAAATGTTTTCCCACACACCCTTTCTCTAACCTCCCAGCAATCTGTCCACATTGCCCACTTGAAGTACCAGGTGAAATCCTGCACGCATTTCTCCGGAACTAACGCTGCCCTCGCATCTTCAGATGGCCGGGATGCTGACCGTGACACAACCTCTGGGACAGATTCCCTTTTCCCTCCTAGGGGAAACACCTCCTATGGCAGAACCCCAAATGTGAAACAGGAAAAAATAATAAGTCCCATCTATGGGCATTCACATTATCTTTCAACCTTCAGGTTGATCTCTTTCTTCACCATGGGGAGATTGGAGGGAGAGAAGAGGAAGAGGAGGAGAAGGAATAAAGGAAAACATAAAGTCCACACCAGCTCCTTTCCTGCTGATGAAAATTGGCACGAATGAATTTACTTTCTGGCTCCTGGCCCTCACAAACCGTTACAAAAAAAAAAAAAAAAAGTTCCCCATGTTAAACTGCTCCAAATATAAATTCGAGCCGGCAAGCCAGCCTAAAATCCACTCACCACATTAGATGTGTGTCCTTCTCAGGGCAAATCGAGTGTCTACTAAATATGTGTGTATGCATATACACATATACATATATATATATATATATATATATATATATGAGAAACATCTAGCATTTGGGAACTTTGGTGTTTTGGTCGTTTTTTTTTTTAATTCTGGGTTTTTTGAGAGGCCTGGCAAAGCCCCGAGCCGAAACTTATGACAGTTGAGCACATGATCTCCACCACCGAGAGCAAATCGACACCCTCGTGAAACCATTCACGGCCGCAGATCGGTCACAAACCCTGCACACGAGACCCGGCCACCGGCGACGTCCGGCCCGGGGGGTGGGGGGGAGTGGGGAGGCGGCGGGGCGGGGGGTGTCCGCGGTGGTACCCCCACGTCGGAACCCCAGGGCGCGCACGAACAATAGTGCTGCCACCCTCCCAGCAGCCCCGGGGCACGAGCCGGGGCGCCCGGCGGCGGGGAGGTCGGGTCCCGAAGTCCCGGGACAAGTTTCGTATGAAAATCACGGGGAGGGGAACAAGGGGAGGTGGGAGGGAGGCGGGGGGAGGACGGGGCAGAGCCCGGGCCGAGGCGCGGCGCGGCGGGCACCCGGGACGCGGCGACTCCGGCGAGGGCCCCGCCGGCCCCGGCAGAGTCGCCGCAGCCGGCCCCGCGCGGCTCCCCCGAGCCGTGCCCAGGCCCCGCCGCAGAGCGCGCGCGGGGGGCTCGCGGCGCCCGGGCCCGCCGCAACGCCAGGTGGGCGCACAGGCGCAGGGAGCCGGGGAGCCGGGCCGCGCTCGCCCTCCCGCCCGCCACGCCGCGGCCCGGGGCCGGGTCTCCGCGCGCCCCTCCCCGCCCACCCCGTGCCCGCCGCCGCCAGGCCCTCCCGGGCGGGGGGATGGGGGGCGCGGCCCGGGCCGGGCCCGGGGGAGCGGCGCGGGGTCGGGGGGAAGCGGGGGAGGCCGTTACCTTCCGACAGCTCCAGCTCCAGCTCGGCCAGGCGGGCCCTCACCTCCAGGGGCAGAGCCATGCCTTCCAGGCTGCGGTCCGCCATGCTCGCCGCAGACGCCCCCGCCCTGCCGGCCTCCTCTTTGTTCGCAGGCGGAGGTCTACGGCGGCCGCTCCCGAGTCCGGAGGACCCGCACGGAGGCGGCGGAGGCGGCGGCGGCGGCGGGCGCGGGCGCGGGAGGCCGGGCGGCGGCGGCGGCCGGCGCGCAGGGATTTCTCCTCCTCCTCCACCTCCACCTCCTCCTCCTCCTCCTCCTCCTCTTCCTCCTCCTCCCCCTCGGCGCCTCCTCAGCGCGACCCCGCCGCGGCGGCCTCGCGCCCGCTCCGCGCGCCCCCACGCGGGCTCGGCCCGCGCTGCCGCTGCCGGCCGGGCGCGGGGCAAATCGGTGGCCGCCGCGGTCACGGCCACTGGCTCGCTGCTCCGCGGCCGCCCTGCCCGGCGGGAGCGCCCGCTGCGCGCGCACGTGGCGGCCGGGGGCGCGCGGGGGGCGGGGCGCGCGCGGGGGGGATGGAGGGGGATGGCGGGGACGCGCGAGGATGGCGGAGCAGGGGGGCGCGCGCACCAGGGGCGGCGGGGACGCGCGAGGATGGCGGGGCGGGGGGACGCGCGAGGGTGGCGGGGCGGGGGGGACGCGCGCGCCGGGGACGCGCGAGGATGGCGGGGAGCGCGCGCGCCGGGGACGCGCGGGCGGCGGCGGGGCTCCAGGCCCGCGGCGGGCCCTCCAGCGGTCGGCCCGCGGGAGGGAGAGGGCCGGGGCTGGCCAGGGCTGGGGCTGACCGGGGCCAGGGGCGGCGAGGAGGGGCTCCTCGCCCGGCCCCTGCGCCCTTGTCCCCCTCGAGCTTAGGGCCCCGGCTCACCCCGAAAAGTGTCTCTTGGTCCTGGAAGGCTGATTTTTTTTTTTTTCTTCTTGTAATGAATACTTGGAGAGGGGGAAGCGAACGAGCAGCCTGCGCCAGTGTGAGCATGGAAGTTTCCAGAGCATCCAGGACCAGTGGATGACCTTGAGCGGCCTGAGGCCCTGGCCTGGGGGCTTCACTCCGCCGCACCCCCCCCTCAGTGGAAAGGGAGTGGAGGCCGCATGTCCCCCCGTCTGCATTCCACAGACGACACCTGTCTGTCCATCAACACCCCCCAGCACGCTGCTGCCTCACCCCGGGGACACCCCACCCTGGGGACACCCCACACTGCAGTCAGGAAGGGCTGCTTTTCCTCCTCTCCCACACCTCAGGGGCACGTGCCCTTGCTGGGGTATCAGCTCCGTGTCTCTATCTCTAGGCCTGACTCTCCTGGGGGAGGCCAAACCCCTGACACCCCAAATCCACACTTCACACGTCCCCTCCAGTCTGTCACACTAAATCTAGCCCTTTCCCCTTCCAGATACTTCCCCCTGCTTGGGACTTTCTGAAGACCTCCTGAGGGTTCACAGACACAAACACACCACAGTGGCACCCCCTCAAAATCCATTAATAAGAGTCACTACCCCACTTGCTGGATGCAAGCCCCACCGCTTAGTGTTGGGAGGAAGGACCTGGCCAGCCTTCCCGTCCAGCCTCCTCCATGCCCCCCATCCCAAAGTCCCAGCAGCCTGAACCCTTAGCCTCTTGACTGAGAAGTGAAGAAGTGGATGGAGATAGCTGGATGGTCAGCTAGCTGATGGTTCTTCATTGGAACAGGCCTTGGACTAACTATGCTCTGGGCTGCAGCAGGCATTTCCAGTGGCCTGTGGACTCTCTACCTTATCCAAAATCAAATTCATTGTGTCCACCCATCCTTACCCCTAGTCTGCTTCTCTTGCTTTTCCTTTATCACATCTGCTAGCAATTTCCAACAACCCCTGCCTACAATATTTCTCTCATACCTCTCTCCCATTCCCCTGGTCCACTGCTAGTGCCCAAATCCATCTTCCAACACTGGGGTACTTCAGCTACCTTGCTCTACAGTCTGCAACAGTTCTCTGCCGGCAACTAAAGAATCCCTTGATTCAATACCAGGGTTACTGGCCCTGGCACAAAATCTCCTTTCTGCTTTCTGTTTCCCTCTTTTACTCCCCCAAGTTCAGCTGCAGAATTCTTCGCTGTCATCCAGATCCCCGCCCACCTGTGTCTGTGTTTTGCTGATGTCATCCTTCTTGTTGTCATTTTCCTCCACCCTTTCTGTCCCCAACCTGAATTATCGCCACCCACCAAATGTATCCAGGCAAGCCTGACATCATAGCACACCTGTAATCCCTGTTAAGTGGAAGGCTGAGGCAGGAAGATCCTTTGAGCCCAGAATTTGAAGCCATCCTGGACAACATAGGGAGACTCCATCTCCTCTTCATTAGTATTTATTATTGTTATTATTATTTCTATTATTTTACCCAGTCAAGTCCCACAACAAATGGTTCTTCTCCAATGAAGCCATCCCTAATCTCCAGATTAGAGAGATTCTCACCTCTGGAATTACACACTTCTTTCTCTACCTGTCCTCCTTGGAGTCAGTAATTGGTTGGTGTGTCTTACCTGGTAGTTTGTTTATCTCTCATTCTTCCATTGGGTTGGATTACATAATAAACAGCATCTTGTCTCCCACAGCGCAGTCCTGTCGGGAATAAGAGGTGGGAGAAGGCTGGTCCTCATCCAGGCTCACTAGTGACCAGTTTTGCAGAAGACTAGACCTTGTGAAAACCATACTACACTTAACGTGTGTTATAAGAACAGAAATCTGGATCAAATCTCCATGATGGTGGGTGTAAAGATGCCCAATCCATGTTTATGAGAATGAATGGAATAGACTCACAGAGCTATCAATTTCTAAAGCTCTGCCCAAAGCCCTAACATTTCCATCAGGGTCATCAGAGTTATCTTTCTGAACTATGGTCAACTGACCATAGTTATCTTCAGAAAATCCTGGCTATTTCTTGGGAGACTACACAAACCAGTGTTTACTAACACAATAGTATGGTTTAATTTATGAAAGAACACAGCCTCTATAAAGTGAAGCCCAGGAGATCTGGGCAGAGGTCAGAAAAGTTAGATAGCCAGGAAAAAAGAAGGGAGGATGTAGGAGGGGCTCTCCTGCCAAGATTCTGACAATTCTGTTGAAGAGACACTACAATGTACCATTGCAATATACAAGTCTTGAAAACCATCTTTTGAGTTCCACTGAGGGACAGTTATATGCACCTAACTAAACAATTAACTAATCATCATACCAGATAGTATTCAAATACTTATTTCCATCTACTTACTTTACATTTTTTTATTGTCTACTGATGGATCATTTGCCCTCACTCTTTTCTCACTTTTATTTTAGTATCTTGCTTCTGTTTTTTTCCCCTGTTTCACTGAATTCCAGGTCAACTCAAAGGAGTGAAAAATTATTTATTTGTAACTGGGCCCTAGACTTCAAAAATCTGGTTAGGGTAGTAAAGGAATGTGCTAAATCAGAGTGTCTAAAGGTATCAGTGCCAGGCAGAAAGGGCTTATTTATTCATGAGATAACTAACAGGAAGGAAATACAAAGCTCCTTGTAATTGCTCCCCTGCACAAATGCAGCTCAGAGCTGCACCCTGACTCTGTTGCCTTAAGACTAGATGGTTTCACTCTTAGCGGATTAATGTAGAAGTTGCTCATGCTGGCCTCTTTGTCCCAAATTTTGTGGACGTTTGGGATTTTATTTTTATTTTTTATCTTCTTCCAACTCACTGGAAAGAGCAGGTGATAAACAATGGTGGCAGGAGCTCTTTGGGTACTTGAGTTATAAATCCCTTGTGGAGGTGGTGAGCATGGTCATTCTGAACTGCAAATTTCATACAGAAGTATACCCGATAACTTGGGCTTTGCTTCCAAGTCTTCTCTCCTCCCCCCTCCCCCAATCCTGGGGCTTGAACTCAGGGCCCAAGCACTATCCCTGAGCTTCTTTTGGCAAGGCTAGCACTCCACCATTTGAGCCACAGCACCACTTCCTGCTTTTTCTGTTTATGTGGTACTGAGGAATCAAACCCAGGGCTTCATGCATGGTAGGCAAGCACTCTGCCAGTAAGCCACATTCCCAGCCCCTGTTTCATTTTTATCTTAGCACAATATCAGAAACTGAGCTCAAAGCCAGGCGCTGGAGGCTCACGCCTGTAATCCTAGCTACTCAGGAAGCTGAGATCTGAGGATCGCAGTTCAAAGCCAGCCCAGGCAGGAAAGTCCATGAGACTCTTATCTCCAATAAACCACTAGGAAACCGGAAGTGGTGCTGTGGCTCAAGCGGTAGAGTGCTCGCCTTGAGCTGAAGAGCGCAAGGACAGCACCCAAGCCCAGAGTTCAAGCCCCATGACCGACAAAAAGAAAGAAAGAAAGAAAGAAACTAAGCTCAGACACACTATTGGATTTAAAGAAAAGACAGATACGAATAAATGTCTGACACACTAGCGGTTGACTTGCTATTTAGAAAGCAACTTGAGACCTTTGAATGAAGCTAATCTAGGTATTCAAAACCTCAGTAACAGCATTGCCACCCATTCTTTGGTGTCATTATAGAGATCACTCAATTATGTGTGCATGTGACTAAGTTCAGAGAACTATATGTACATTTCCACTTCTGCTTTCATTACTGTCTTCTTCTGAAAGCAACAAATGATCCAACCTTGTTTGCCTAAGAGCAAGTACACTGGCAAAAGAAAGAAAAGAAACTGGAAATAATCCCAGAATCCCACTGTATCATTAAGTTGCCTCTTTCTTTTGTACCATTGGTAGAAAAACTGACGATTCAACTCTTACTCAAAGATATAGAGAATTTGCCTAAGTGTTTGGTCATATATGCTTTTATATGTCAATGTATAACTATCCATAATATCACTATTTCTGATAACTTGGATAATTTAGTGAATTTTTAATCATTTGGGTGAACGATGGCATGTATAATACAAGATAAATTAGGCAAAAGTGACTCATGTTTGTTCTTCGATTTTTATTCAAATCTGCAGCATATTTCCTTTGCTGATTATGATTAACAGTTGATATAGTTAAGCTGTTGTTAAAATTACCATTTCTAAAACCCATGTCAATCACTGGCTAAGACGAATGACACAGAATTCCAAGGGAAAGAAGTTAGGAACTAAAATATAATTGTGGACTGGGATTGTAACTCA